ATATATTATTATTATTGTTATTATTATTACTATTATTATTATTAGATAATTATAATTATATTGTTATAATATAAGTAATGTACTATACTATAATATATATATATATATTTGTGTATCCCGGCCCCTCCAGCAGCAGGACACGTTCCAAGCCGCCGAGATGGTACAGCTCTTGGCTGAGCTGGGTCAGAGTCGCCAGTGCGCTACCATCATGTGCCTTGAGAGAAACGTGGTTATCTACGGTTTATGGTTGTTTGCGGTACAACCCCCTCGCCCCCAAAGTTCAATGTTATTGTAACCTGAAGTGCGTTAGCCCCAATGGACGAAAAAAATCAAACCCCTAACATCACTTTTGCTAACACGCGCGCTGAAACATTGAGATTTGGGGGTGCGGGGGTTCAACGTAGTGCATGCTGCAGGGTTTGAATATTTTGTCCATCTACTGTCTCGTTCTCTGATGTTTTCACATCTTTTGGTCTCCAAACTCTGTTGTGGAAACATCAATGTGCGTGCGGCATGCCGCACACCCCAGTTGGTACCGTCTCGTTCTCTGATGTTTTCACATCTTTTGGTCTCCAAACTCTGTTGTGGAAACATCAATGTGCGTGCGGCATGCCGCACACCCCAGTTGGTACCGTCTCGTTCTCTGATGTTTTCACATCTTTTGGTCTCCAAACTCTGTTGTGGAAACATCAATGTGCGTGCTGCTGATCTTCTTCCAAACTGCGCAAAACATTGGCTTTTCACAAGTAAATGCCTCCTGTCTGTCTCCCGTCCCATTTTTGTCTATTCCCTAATTCGCAACTTATTCCTAAGTGCACAAAACATTGTGTTTTCACAGGTAAGTGCAACCTTTGTGCTTCCCGTCCCATTTTTTTTCTATTCCCTAATTCGCAACTTATTCCAAACTGCAAAAAACATTGTGTTTTCACGGGTAAATGCTGCATGTGTCTCTCGTCCCATTTTTTCCTATTCCCTAATTCGCAACTTATTCCAACATGCGCAAAACATTGTGTTTTCACGGGTAAATGCTGCATGTGTCTCTCGTCCCATTTTTTCCTATTCCCTAATTCACGACTTATTCGTTTGACGTGGCCCTGCCATTGGATTTTGTTATTTGTGACGTGCTGCTTCTTTTTAAGAGAAAAATATTTCCTTTTTTAATTAGGAGCTGTCTGATGCTGTTCAAGTTGCAAAATCCATTGGCAGGGCCACGTCAAACGAATAAGTCGTGAATTAGGGAATAGGAAAAAATGGGACAAGAGAGGCATGCACATCTACCTGTGAAAACACAATGTTTTGCGCATGTTGAAATAAGTTGTGAATTAGGGAATAGGGGAAAATGGGACGAGAGACACATGCAGCATTTACCTGTGAAAACACAATGTTTTTTGCAGTTTGGAATAAGTTGCGAATTAGGGAATAGAAAAAATGGGACGGGAGGCACAAAGGTTGCACTTACCTGTGAAAACACAATGTTTTGTGCACTTAGGAATAAGTTGCGAATTAGGGAATAGAAAAAAATGGGACGGGAGACAGACAGGAGGCATTTACTTGTGAAAAGCCAATGTTTTGCGCAGTTTGGAATAAGATCAGCAGCATGCACATTGATGTTTCCACAACAGAGTTTGGAGACCAAAAGATGTGAAAACATCAGAGAGCGAGACAGTACCAACTGGGGTGTGCGGCATGCCGCACACCCGAGTTGGTACCGTAGATGGACGAAATATTCAAACCCCTTCTATCCTGTACAACCCCTTCGCCCCCAAAGTTCAATGTTATTGTAACCTGAAATGCGTTAGCCCCAATGGACGAAAAAAATCAAACCCCTAACATCACTTTTGCTAACGCGCGCGACATTGAGATTTGGGGGTGCGGGGGTTCAACATAGTGCGTGCTGCAGGGTTTGAATATTTTGTCCATCTACTGTCTCGTTCTCTGATGTTTTCACATCTTTTGGTCTCCAAACTCTGTTGTGGAAACATCAATGTGCATGCTGCCGATCTTCTTCCAAACTGCGCAAAACATTGGCTTTTCACAAGTAAATGCCTCCTGTCTGTCTCCCGTCCCATTTTTTTCTATTCCCTAATTCGCAACTTATTCCTAAGTGCACAAAACATTGTGTTTTCACAGGTAAGTGCAACCTTTGTGCTTCCCGTCCCATTTTTTTCTATTCCCTAATTCGCAACTTATTCCAAACTGCAAAAACATTGTGTTTTCACGGGTAAATGCTGCATGTGTCTCTCGTCCCATTTTTTCCTATTCCCTAATTCACAACTTATTCCAACATGCGCAAAACATTGTGTTTTCACAGGTAGATGTGCATGTCTCTCTCGTCCCATTTTTTCCTATTCCCTAATTCAGGACTTATTCGTTTGACGTGGCCCTGCCAATGGATTTTGTTATTTGTGACGTGCTGCTTCTTTTTAAGAGAAAAATATTTCCTTTTTTAATTAGGAGCTGTCTCATGCTGTTCAAGTTGCAAAATCCATTGGCAGGGCCACGTCAAACGAATAAGTCCTGAATTAGGGAATAGGAAAAAATGGGACGAGAGAGACATGCACATCTACCTGTGAAAACACAATGTTTTGCGCATGTTGGAATAAGTTGTGAATTAGGGAATAGGAAAAAATGGGACGAGAGACACATGCAGCATTTACCTGTGAAAACACAATGTTTTTTGCAGTTTGGAATAAGTTGCGAATTAGGGAATAGAAAAAAATGGGACGGGAAGCACAAAGGTTGCACTTACCTGTGAAAACACAATGTTTTGTGCACTTAGGAATAAGTTGCGAATTAGGGAATAGAAAAAAATGGGACGGGAGACAGACAGGAGGCATTTACTTGTGAAAAGCCAATGCTTTGCGCAGTTTGGAAGAAGATCAGCAGCATGCACATTGATGTTTCCACAACAGAGTTTGGAGACCAAAAGATGTGAAAACATCAGAGAGCGAGACGGTACCAACTGGGGTGTGCGGCATGCCGCACACCCCAGTTGGTACCGTAGATGGACGAAATATTCAAACCCCTTCGGTACAACCCCCTCGCCCCCAAAGTTCAATGTTATTGTAACCTGAAGTGCGTTAGCCCCAATGGACGAAAAAAATCAAACCCCTAACATCACTTTTGCTAACACACGCGCTGAAACATTGAGATTTGGGGGTGCGGGGGTTCAACATAGTGCGTGCTGCAGGGTTTGAATATTTTGTCCATCTACTGTCTCGTTCTCTGATGTTTTCACATCTTTTGGTCTCCAAACTCTGTTGTGGAAACCTCGTTGGTACCGTCTCGTTCTCTGATGTTTTCACATCTTTTGGTCTCCAAACTCTGTTGTGGAAACATCAATGTGCATGCTGCTGATCTTCTTCCAAACTGCGCAAAACATTGGCTTTTCACAAGTAAATGCCTCCTGTCTGTCTCCCGTCCCATTTTTGTCTATTCCCTAATTCGCAACTTATTCCTAAGTGCACAAAACATTGTGTTTTCACAGGTAAGTGCAACCTTTGTGCTTCCCGTCCCATTTTTTTCTATTCCCTAATTCGCAACTTATTCCAAACTGCAAAAAACATTGTGTTTTCACAGGTAAATGCTGCATGTGTCTCTCGTCCCATTTTTTCCTATTCCCTAATTCACAACTTATTCCAACATGCGCAAAACATTGTGTTTTCACAGGTAGATGTGCATGTCTCTCTCGTCCCATTTTTTCCTATTCCCTAATTCACGACTTATTCGTTTGACGTGGCCCTGCCAATGGATTATGTCATTTGTGACGTGCTGCTTCTTTTTAAGAGAAAAATATTTCCTATTTTTAATTAGGAGCTGTCTCATGCTGTTCAAGTTGCAAAATCCATTGGCAGGGCCACGTCAAACGAATAAGTCGTGAATTAGGGAATAGGAAAAAATGGGACGAGAGAGACATGCACATCTACCTGTGAAAACACAATGTTTTGCGCATGTTGGAATAAGTTGTGAATTAGGGAATAGGAAAAAATGGGACGAGAGACACATGCAGCATTTACCTGTGAAAACACAATGTTTTTTGCAGTTTGGAATAAGTTGCGAATTAGGGAATAGAAAAAATGGGACGGGAAGCACAAAGGTTGCACTTACCTGTGAAAACACAATGTTTTGTGCACTTAGGAATAAGTTGCGAATTAGGGAATAGAAAAAAATGGGACGGGAGACAGACAGTAGGCATTTACTTGTGAAAAGCCAATGCCTTGCTCAGTTTGGAAGAAGATCAGCAGCATGCACATTGATGTTTCCACAACAGAGTTTGGAGACCAAAAGATGTGAAAACATCAGAGAGCGAGACGGTGCCGCACACCCCAGTTGGTACCGTAGATGGACGAAATATTCAAACCCCTTCTATCCGGTACAACCCCCTCGCCCCCAAAGTTCAATGTTATTGTAACCTGAAGTGCGTTAGCCCCAATGGACGAAAAAATCAAACCCCTAACATCACTTTTGCTAACACACGCGCTGAAACATTGAGATTTGGGGGTGCGGGGGTTCAACATAGTGCGTGCTGCAGGGTTTGAATATTTTGTCCATCTACTGTAGTACTAGTACTAGTACATGTAGTGGGGGGGAAGGGGGGTGACTTTGATTCAGACGAAGCAAAAACGCGCGGCAAGAGAACAAAGGAACAAGTACAAGCAAAGAACAGAAACAAGTACAAACCAAGAACAGAAACAAGAACAACACCTTCCAATCAGACACGCCGGCAGGCCGGCGGATTTTGTTTGAATGTTAACTCACCATGAATAAATTCTCACTTGACCCGAACTTTCTGTGGCTATCTGTGGCTTCACTTGCTGCTCGCAGGTCACATGAAATCTAATTTACAGTAAACGGCTTGCGTTGGACCCAAAAAGATCCATACAGCTTGGAACCACCGATATCCAATGCCCACAATGCCGCATGCGGCCACATAGCTTCACATAGCTTAGCAGAAAGTCAGAGCTTTGGCGCCTGCGCCTGATACGCCTGGTATGCGCCAGGCAGCCACAGTGGCCTGGTCATGACCGCAGTTGCTTTTCCCAATTCCTTCTCTGTGCCCATGACAATGCTGCTGGCCATTGGTTCACATCCTTTGTTGGCCCAGGCAGGTTGCGGTGAAACGCGGTGAAATGCGGTAAAGTTGGGGTTGGTCCTGGCGCAAAGTGGTGAGATCGAAGCATATAATGTTATGGGGGTCACCTTGATCCAGCTGTATACCGCTTTTCGTTTAAGAGCATCGTTTGGGGAATGCGTTGCTTGGGACGCTTCCGGCAAGGATGGAGAGGCCGTGCAAGCAGCTAGGCAAGCAGCTGGAGGAAGGAACCGGGAAGCAGACCACATAAACAATGTAAGACTTGGGTAAGACCCTGCTCTGCATTTGCAGTGCAAACATGGGGAGAGAGAGAGACCATCACGAAAGAAATAGAATAATGGAGTCATTGAAAGATTTGAAAGCATCATGGGGCCTTGCTCAGGATGTGGAGGACCGCATTTCCATGTTATTCCTGGCAAGCTATCCGTTCTGGGTGGTGGCGCGTTGGGGAATCGGATTTCCGGTTCTGACAGGTGCCATGGCTTGTTGAACGCCGACTTGAACCATCATGGCATGAAGATCATGTACTGTGACAGCATACTGCACGGCAAATGAAACATTCCAACCCTGAATGCCGGGCACATCCGGGCAGGGGCTTTGTCCTTCGAGCAGTGGAGACAGAAGGTCCTCAACCCACCGGTGAAGGCAGGAATCCTCCTCCCAACCTCCCCCATCAACGCCCTGCAACCCCTTTCAACAGTTCAACAGTTTTGCTCAATTGGCATATTGATGCAGCATGATAAAACCTGATGCCCAAAGATGCCAGGCTTGTTTGCTGTCTTTGCCCGTGGCCTTGGTTGCTCACCTCAAATTGAATCGCTCTGGTGGTCTATTTGGCAGCTACGGTGAGCAGTTTGGATGGGAAGTTGAAAGGTTTTTCGCCCGTAGGACACCGTAGAACTCTTGGACTGTTTGAGCTCTTTCCTGTTACTGCGCCAGTGCATCTAGCAATCTAAAAGTGGTGGTTGAGGATGCAGGGAGACACGTTGGTGAACTGTCCTGATTACAAGGGCAGTATATTGGAACTGCTTGACTCAACGGAGCCACAGATAATGAGTACTCCGCATTATATAACTGCCCCCTCTTCCCCCCAGAAGGTCGACAAGGTCAAGAAGGGTTTCGGAGGCACATCATTGATGAACAGGAAAACACCAACAGAAAGGAAAGGGGCAAAAGGAAACAAAAACACATAGGGCTGCGGTGGGTGTTATTTATTTGGGGAGGCAACCACTTTTAAATTTAATTGGTGGGGGGACACCACTCATGGCGGGTACCCTTAGTGAGCTTCCAAAGCATTATTATTTTTTATGCAAACAGTACCAAGAAATTTATCACTTTGGGGATTATTATGTGTTTTTTTCCTCTCTGGGGGGATTAAACGTGTAGCAAAACGAAATATGAACCATGATGGATCAACAACATATTTCCCCAGTTTAACGTATTTTTTAAAAGGGAAATAGTATTGAGTGATATTGAATAAGTATCACTTAAAATCTCAAGGGCCCAAACCACCTAAGTGACTTTAGTCTTGCCCCAAATTCGAGGGGAAACGGGGCTTACCAAACAGGATAAACAGGGGGGGTTTATTCATCCTACCTTGACATGAGGTATCACAGCATCACCATCGCTCCCAGATAGTTCCTCCACTTGTTTGATTCAGCATGGCCACCACTGAGTTTCGGCCACCTGGGGACCATTTCTTCTCCAGTCTCCCCAACCGCCACCTTGAGGCTTTGCAGCACGCACACGCTTTGCAGAGTTGGGGCGTCAGCTTCGACTTCTTTCAACCAGCCAGGGTCCTGAGATGGTTCGGGATGGTCCCAGAGAAGAATGGATGTTTTGGCCTGTCTTTTTGGAATTTGGACCATAGCATGCTCCGCCATGTTCATTCGAAACGATGAAGAGAGGAGAGGCCTCATCTATCTCAATCCACTTTTTCCGTGACCCATGACTGCTCATGACTGGAGTTTCTAGTACTGTACGTGTTTGTGAGGTGACAACTGCAGTGGGCTATGCTGGACGCTGCTCAGTTCCATTGCTCTTGATGGCGCTGGGCTCGAAGGCACGGATGGTCCAAGGACGCACTCAAAAACATGTGACCAATGTTTCTAGCACAGTGGGGAATGTGATCGCTGTTGACATGATGGGGGAAACTCTTGGCAATTTTGGATGTGCAGTTCCCTTTGCATTTTCTGTGCCTCCCATGGGCAGGTTGATAGCATTTCTGCGGAAATCTGGGACACAAGAGGAGGTCCTATCCACATGCTATGTGTTTTTTTCTTGTAACGACCGTAACGAGAGAGAGGTTATAGAGGTTGAAGTAGTGCAAAATCCAAACCAAGAGGATCCATTATAATTTTGATATATTTCGATCATGTGGAAGTGGTGCGATGTGTTGCAATGTGATGCGTGCTGCAATGTGTCACTTTAAATGAAGGGGTTGTGAAACAAATGTGGATGCAGCCAAGGAAACAGAAGTAGCATGAAGTAGCAAGGTGCCAGCCGCCGGCCAGCCAAATATATCCAAGAAATATATTGAACACATCTGAACACATCAATGAACGTATCTACATCCAGGCTAGTGACACACGAGCAACGAGCTCGACAAGCTTCTGGCCGTTCCAGGACCAGGGGAAGCGCCAAAGGCCAACTACCAGGCGTTGCTGATTCCTTCCATTGCTTCGTCTCCTGACTTGTCAAGTGGTTGTAGCAGAAAGCGCACGTCCTACATCATCATCATCATCATCATCATCATCATCATCAGCAGCAGCAGCAGCAGCACTAGCACCCTAAATCGTCATCAGCCACCAATTATCAACCATCAAAATAATAACTTAACCATAACCGAAGGAAGTTTAGAAGTCAAACTTCTGACAATTGTAAACTTTCATGATTCAAGGAAGTAAGGGAATTACGCGGAAATAAGGTTTAGGATATTTGCAAACCAATTGTTTCGGATTGAAATCCAGTTTGGAAGGATTTTGGGCAAATTGTATTGCCTCAGATAACTGAAGCCATCCACATGATTCATTTTGTCCAGAATTTGGGTGACAAACTGGTAGATGTTCACAGCGTAGGTCAAAATAGAGTATGCGCAGAAAATAACAAACAACAGGAGCCATAAAGAAACAAATGACAAATGCAGGCACCCAAAGAAATCATCCAAAAATATCCCAAACAAATACTTACAACATCTTACAACAGCTCATTGGACTTGCTCCACTGCAGCAGCTGTTGGTGTTGGGCATGAAAATGGAAATACCCTATATACATTTGTGAGTTTGAGATCAATTAGATCCTTACACCATGTTCCTTGTCGCGTGGTTTCGGTTCAAACTACCCTGACTTAGGGCCCTTGAGCTGTTGGTTGCAAAAACGGTCCCTAGCGCAATTCAAACTGGTAGCGGGGCTTTTTTCCGGAGAGTTCACTCCCGACAGCCGGACTCTCACGGTGATAGCCTAGGTCCGAACTTGTGTGTGTTTGTTGTGTGTGTGTAAGTGTGTAAGTGTGTAAGGTCGAAACATCCTGAGGGATCGCTGAAATCCCATCGAACGCCATGTCGATGGCCGGCTTGAGGTACTGCCCGAGCAGTCCTACAGGACCGTTGGAAACGAAGAGTGGAGCCTACGTGTATAGTGGAGACCCGTCCCACTTTCACGAATGGCAGTTCAGAACCCTTCTTCGAGTGGAACTCTGCAAGAAGAAGATGGAACAGAAGGCCAAGGAAAAGGCCAAAGAGGCATCCAGTTCCCCGATCACTAGCCCTGCAAGCAGTGGTCGGAGGAGACGTCAGCCGACAGATGCGGCAGGACGAGGAGGTGCTGAAGAAGAAGAAGCTGCTGCTGAAGTATCGCCCCAAGCCCCATCAGGTGAACATGAGATTGGTGGCTTTGCGTCGCCTCGTAGCCATCATGAGGACGATGACTTTGTTGACGCTTCTCCATATGTGGAGCTTGTCACAAAGGTCATGGAAGGGCTCAGGGGAGATGCATTCCTCATGGCCAAGGACTTGGGTTTGAATGCGTTGATGGATGCAGGCCCTCCTACCGGACTGGAATTGCTGGTGGAGAGAATCAATGTGTTTCCCTTGAGGTTACATGAAGCAAGGGAGCTTTTCAGGCTTGGACAGCAGGCCAATGGCCCCCTCAGCCGTCAGTCTGCAGAGACGATTTTGTCTTTTATAGGAAGACGAAACCGCTGGTGGATTCAACTCAAAGAGCTAGACCCAGAAATGACGATACCCACCCCAATGCGGGCTGAGCTTCTCCTTGAGACATCAGGCCTCGCCCATCAAGAGCAACTCATGGTCAAGACTGCTTGCCCGGAACCAAGCTTCGAAGGATACAGTGAGATCCTACTGGAACACCATGGAAGAATCCATCTGAGGGATTCAAGAAGCTTGGGCCCCTTGGCCCCTCCTTCAAGGCCCTTTCCAGCGAAAGGAGCAGGGAAGAACAAAGGAAAGGGGTGGTATCGATCGGGTTACTTTGCAGGTGACTATGATGGCCAAGCAGGAGATGAAGCAGCAGGTGAAGGAGACAACTACGACTGGAATGAGGACTATGGTGAAGGAGCCTATGTTGGGTATGGTGATGAGCCCAGTGCAGAAGACCCAGATGATTGCGACTGGGTGTCAGATGAAGATCTGGGCAAGGCACTGACAGCCATGGCTGCTTGTGACATGGACGAGACATCAACAGATGGTCTTGAGGAACTTGGAGAGGCTTGTCAGCACCAGTTGCAGGCCTACGCAGCTGTGGGACGTGCAAAAGGGAAAGGACCCTACAAGGGATCAGGAAAGGGCAAGGACAAGGGGAAGGGCAAGAGGGTTGTGAAGACCCAATTGTCCATCCAAGACAGGAAAGTCAGACTTGCCAGCCTGAAGAAAAACAGTCGTTGCCTACGCTGTGGAGGCTATGGACACTTGGGCAGGTGACCCAGAATTCAAGATGCCCAACAAGAAACCCAGTGCCACAGCGTCCGTCCCAGGTCAAGTGCCGAGCCAAGGGAAGGTTGGCTACTTTGCCCTGAGTGATTCCTCAGGAGACGATGGTGGTCCATTTCCTTGCATGGTCATTGGAGCAGGGAGTAGTAAGAAGAAATGTGGGTACATGGGTTATAGGACCCCCACTGCACACCCTGCCAAAGCCAAGGCAAGGACGCCACCACGTTCATCCCCCACAACCAGTGATGGTAGCTTTTCCCAGGTGTCAAGCCATGCATTGGCTTCACGTGTGCCCAGAATGCCTGCCTTTCGTGCCAGGAGGGAAGATTCCATGGCTGACACGACATTGCCCCCTGGAAGTGACCATGTTTTCACGTTTGGGCAGCACAAGGGTTACACCTACCATGAAGTGTTACAGCAATACCCTGGGTACTATGTTTGGGGACGAAATGAACCTGGAACGTCAAGAATCTTGTTCCTGGATTGGGTCGATATGTACTATGATGTTGATCATGGAACCCATCAAGATACCCCCAAGCTAGCTCTTGAGGAAGTTCAGCCAAGACCTGCCCCGGTGCCAGGATCGAGACACAAAACTGCCACGAAGAAGCCTCCCAATCCCCCTGTTGAGATTTCTGGTCATGTTTGCAAGGATTTTAGCTTGCTAGGATCCAATGCATACGTCATGCGCAAGACATGCAGGGATTGTGGAAGAGTCACTCAGACCCCAAAGAATCCAACATACACCCAAGATCCCGAAACATGCAACCATGCAGTCACTGACAAAAGGGGATCAACCAAGAGCACCAGCAGAACGTTTTGTCTGCTGTGTGGAACTCAGGTGGACGAGATGTCGCGTGATGAGGGACAGCGAGGGAAGCCTTGGGAAGGGCTGTGTGTGAGTCAGTCCGCTGCACCCATGGTAGATCTGGCAGAAGACCTGTTGAAATATGAGAGTTTGGAATTGCTTTTGAGTACTGAGGACTCAGTAGCAGTGATGCACCAGTTTCAACAGGATTGTGAAGTGGAACGACAAAGTCTGTCTGGACTATGTCATGTCTTCTTGCATGACGCAGAGGGCACCAAGCACAACTACCCCCACATCCTCGACCCCGCTGGTGGATACAATGTGTTCATCTCGGTGCCATCAAGGCTATCTGGTGACGCCCTCCAAGCTTTCAACGACAGCTGGGCGATGTGGGCAGGCTATCCCAAAAGGATTTGGGCAGACCAAGACGGTGCTTTTGGCGGCATCTTCAGTGAGACCTTGGAGAAGGTGTCGGAGATTGACTACAGTGCCGCAGAAGCACATTGGCAGAATGTTGAGGTTGAAGCTTTCAACCGGGCGTTCAGATTCACTGCCGAGCGCCTCATTGATGAGAAACTTGTGACCACGATATGAAGCAGCCCGGAATCATCGTGACTGCTGCTATGAACGACAAGGTGAGGTCGTGTGGCGCCTCCGCCAACGTGTGGCTTTTTGGAAAGAGCCCCCAGATGCCGTATGACTTGTTGGACCGAGAAGGTCAAGTTGAAGCACTTCAAGGTCGACATCCTGACGAAGAACTACGTCTACGTCAATACGTTCGTGCACAAGCCGATGCTTTGATTGCCCAGTACAAGATTGACGAAGCACTCCGTACGGCCGTCAACCGAAAAGGGAGGCCGCCAAGACTGACATATATGAGCCAGGAGAACTTGTGGCTTTCTGGCGCAACATCAAGAAGAAGGGCAAGCTACTGCGGCCGGGATGGTACAGGGGAACCATCATTGGGCCTCACAAAGGCACAGAAGAAGGTAACCAAAACAACTATTGGGTTGCCTCCAACGGCAAGCTCATCCTGGTGTCAAAGGAGCAGCTCCGGCCAACCTATACGGCACCGAGAGATGGCGCATCGACGAGGAGGAGCTGCAGGACTTCCTGGACTTTGACTACGAGGAGTACGATGATGAGACCGGTGAAGGGCCACCAGAAGATGAGGCAGATAGCCGTGATCTTGAGATGGTAGTGCCGCCTTTGGCGGATGAACTCTACAGCCCTTCCATCGCGCCAGATGATGTGGCCGCAGAGCAGGCCCCAGTACAAGCACACGAAGTTCCAATAGATGACAAGAGCGAGTCAATGCCATCGCTCAATTCGAGCGACAACACACAACCACATCCTGACTCACCATTTGCCCGAGGACAAGCACCCATTTTAAACCGAGCACCTGGTACACCTGTGGGCGACATCCTACGGAGGAGACTTACGCCAAGGGTGATGACACCAGCTGAGTCTGCAGGGACTGAGCCATTTCCCAAACGACTCAAAGCCGAAGAATCAGCAGAAGGTGACCTACCTGGAGACGAACGACCTGAAGGAGCTCGAGACGCTTTGGTGGTCGACAGCCTGTGGTTCCCTTCTACGACTACGAGAAGTTTGCCGTCCCCTACATCAAGAGCATCTACATCACGCGGAAAGACCAGAAGGCCTTAGAGCGGGAGATCCCGTTCCACATGATCCCTGACGATCAACGTGAAGGCTATGCTGATGCCCTTGCAAAAGAGTGGCAAACTTGGTGCAAGTACGAGGCAGTGTCTGTCTTGGACCTTGAAGCCTCGGAACATGTGATGGCAAATGTGGATCCGTCAAGGATTCTTGCGACAAGGGTGTGCTATCGCAACAAGAATGTTGCGTTTCCTTGGATGCCCATCAAGTATAAGGCCAGAATTGTGTGCCGCGGAGACCAAGACACTGACTTGCTGACTCTCCGTCGAGACGCACCCGCTTTGGCGCGGTTGTCTTTGATGTTGATTTGTCATGATTTGTCAACTGGCAGTGTCCATGACTGGCATGTTCAATGCGGACATCACAGGAGCCTTTTTGCAAGGAGACCAATCCCTTGCAAGCCGTCGTGAACATCTGTATCTACGACAACCACGAGAAGGACTTCCAGGACTTCATCGTGGCCAATTGCTGCTGGTGGTTCGTGGCATTTTTGGACTCGCCAGCTCCCCAAGATTGTTTTGGCGACACCTCAGAGATAGCCTTCTACAACTTGGTTTCAGGCAGAGCACTTTGGACAAGGCCCTCTTCCTGTACTACAAGAATGGACAGCTCATCTTGGCTGTCGGAGCTCATGTCGATGACCCTGTAGATGCCGACGAGATCCTGACCAAGCTTCGCGAGACCTTTGACTTCGGCACATGGGCTGATGATCGACAGGAGAAGGTCCTTGAGTGTGGAGGAAAACAGATCACACGTGAAGGTGGTGTGATCAAGCTCTCACAGAAGAAGTTCATCCAGGCGACGGCAGTGTCAGCCGTGCCCAAATGGCGAACCGCCACACCTGGCGCGAGCCTGATGCCGCACGAGATGACAGAGCTCCGAAGCGTCGGAGGATGCCTACATTGGTTGGTGGGGCAGACACGCCCTGATCTTGCTGCTGGAACATCGCCCTCCGCCCTACATGCCCGGCCAGCCAACGATCAACAACCTGATGAACCTGAACCGACTTTTGAAGGAAGCGAAGCAATCGTGTGAGTGGAGCCTTACTGGGTGACCGCTTGTACCTTTCACAAGGTGAACCTCGATGGAGCGAAGATCGTGGTTTACACAGATAGCAGCTGGGCAAATGCCCAGGACATGAAATCGCAGGCCGGTTTCTGCGTGTTCAGCGCCGGTGAGTTTGTGGACACCTTGGATGGCGATGCTGCAAGCCTACTTGACTGGCGATCCCATCGGATCAAGAGGCAGTGCCGTTCGACTTTGGCGGCAGGGACTGTGGCAATGGATGCTGGCATGGACTCCGGGATCTTTTGCAGGGAGCTCTTGGGCGAGATGCTGATCGAGAGCTACATCCCCACTACATACATCCGGGAGATTGCCATCTGACTTCCTGCCGGTCATAGGTGTCACAGATTGTAGGGGTTTGTACGACCTCCTTGTGAAAGATGGGCAGCCGTCCACCACACCGGAGAAACGCCTCACAATTGACATCAACGGCTTGAAAGAAGCTGCTATGGAGTTTGACCCCGAAGGGGAAAAACTCAAGGAAGTTTTTCGATGAGCGGCGACGGAAAGCCAAGTCGCCGACCACCTTACGAAAGTGAAGCCAGCTCATCTGCTCAGAGATCTTTTAGACCGCGGATGGCTGAAGCTGGTGAAGATCGAATCATCGATTCTCACGACTTTTAAATTTTGGGGAGTGCAATTCCCGCATACTTTCTGAGACATTCTGAGACTTGTTTGTGCCCGCGACACTAGGGCCCTTGAGCATTAGTAGAAAATACGCAGTTGTGAATCCTGCCATGCTTTCGCTTTGACCTGTGTGCAACCAGGCTCCATCTACTTTTTTATCACCCCCTGTTAACTGTGTGAACCCATCAACTGAAGGGCCGTGATTGCAAACCTCTACTATAGGTTTCCTATTTTTGAAACTTCCGCCACGGCCTTGTGCGGTACTACTGGTATAATTAATAGAATAATGATGATAGTAACAAGCATCAGCAGCAGCACCACCGCCGTCACCGACGCCGACACCGTCATCGTCATCACCGTCATCATCATCATCATCACCACCACCATCATCATATCACCATCCCATGAAAGTATTATAGACCAGGTATATCTAAAGGATATCCAGTGATACATATCATGTGTCACGCCTCTTTTGCCCTACATCCATTTACATCCTGTAGCTGCTGTAGTGCTGTAGTTCTCGTTTCATTCACAGAATATTGTTGTATAGGTTGTTCTTTTTGTCATCCCATAGGCACCGAAACACCCAGGCGTGGGCAACATGCGGACAGCGAGTCTGGAACATCTGAAACGACAGGAGCTCCTGTTGGGGCAGATGAACGCGTGTTTGCGTGTTGATGCAGTGGTAGTTGATGTTAAATAATAGTGATAATGTGGTGTATATTATATAGGTGTAAATATATATATATATATTTCTATATTATTCGGACGCCGTAGTGATGACCAGAATAGTTCCCATGCGCTATGCCCCAGGTCGTACATCACATCGCGATGTGCTACACGCACACACTGTTTTTTTCTAACAGCTGTGTTGCTGATGACGATTCATGTGACAGTTCATACGAGTTTGAAGTCAATCATTTTAATTGGGGTCATTTAGTTGCCAGATGGCCTTTTTAGCTTGGATCTTTCTTTTCCGTACAGCAACTGAAACTGTGTAGATCGTATGATTCGCATGGTTTATGATGATTGATTTTAAATAGGTGCTATGCGGGTGTTAAGAGAGTGGCCTGAGGCCAATCACAGCTACTGTCGCAAACCAAGTCCTCTCATCACGAAAGGTAGCTCCGGTGGGGCTACCTTGGGTTTTACTTTACGAAGTAAAGGGGAGGGCAGCCAGCCCCGTTGCCTGATTATTCAGGGAATAACTGTATATTTTAAGACACCCCCATCGAACCCTACAAGCAGACCCAAAGCACTGTAATTTACATGTTTTTTTGTGATTTTTGCATGGAAAATCATGTCTTGCAACATGATGAAAACTGCGTAAATACCAGTGTTTTTGCTAGGTGCTGTTCAAAAAAACTGTAAATACTGTGGTTTTTGCATGTTTTTTTGCCACCAAGGACAGAAAACATCGTGGCTTGTGAGGCGCCAAAAGCATCGAAATTTACGGTGTTGTTTGCCCCGAATGCCTTTAGAAACTGGCTAAACACAGCCAAAATGACGCCTCGTGGGGCCCTACGTGCATCACCGCCATCATCAACAACGGTAACGACAGCAAGCGATTTTGCTGTCGTGACGCATTTTGCACCGATATGATCCTACAAACAGACGACATTTCGCACAGAAGCCTTTACACAGAGCAGTTTTTGTGCGCAGATACTCTTATACAAAGAGGTTTGTGCACAGAGTTTTTACACACAGACGCCTTTAATTACACACGGAGGTTTTTATGCAACGAAGTCTTTACACAAGTGTTTTAACACACCGATGCTTTGCACAAAGATGCTGAAGCACGCAGGCGCTTTTACACACACATTT